GGGGAGGAGGGAGAGGAGGAGGGAGAGGAGGAGGGAGACGAGGAGGGAGACGAGGAGGGGGAGAGCGGTGGAGAGAGAGCTGATAAATTCATATTTATGCACAAGACGTAAGCAGACGTAAACGATTCGCGTCCCTGAGTAAAACTTGAGAGCATTGTTGGGATAGTCGGCTAGGCGGGAGGAGGCGCGTCACTACTTCAGCTGTTGCATCTCCTCCCGGCGCCCTCCTGGCCGCAGGGCCTTGGGTCCCGCTGGTGGTCGACATTACGTCATATCCCCTCGGACGGCACAATCCCTTCGAGGACCCCCTCCCCCCTCAGCTCCGTCTCTATCTCCCTGATGAGGGGTCCTCGTATTGGGATCAGCCTGCGCAGCACAAGAGCTCTGCTGCTGCTGCAACAGGTCAGCATCATACAGACATATGAGATGGGATCAGATCGGATGTCTCTGCTTGCAGCCAAGTGGGGCACGTTTCCACAGCGGCGGAGGCCGCACGTTCACCGAATTGCGCATGCAGACAAAGCAGAGCGCCAGTCTGCTGCACTTGCACTGCTCGTCGGCACGCCGACGAGCAAACGTACCAAAGATAGAATCATATGCGTAAAACTAAGAGCGAAAACGGTGTAAACGCATATCGGCGTCAAAAGGGTCAGACGACAAAAATAAGGGGCGATACCAAACAGCGAACCAACTCCAACTGCGGCAGCAGAACCAGTAGACTGTTGGTTGTGGCGTCCCCACCCCGCCCGGCCCGGCCCCCGGGATGGTCGTGACAAAACACTGATGGAGACATTACCCAGGGGCATGTCGCTCGGCTCGGCCGCACCGGTCAGCGCAGACAGACGAGGTTTGTTTACAGCAGGGAAACCGAGGGGAACGATGACGAGGCGCGGCAACGGTACTGCAACCTTTACTCTACGGTATTATGCCATGGTACCAAAAGGTTTCAAATAATTAGGCCATACCCCCTGGTACTACTCCTATGCCTTCCGTTTGACAAAAGTGCCAGAAGGAGACTCGCTACGGTGTAAAGTTTACTGCCGAATAATTGAATCATTACTGATGTTGACGAATTTACTTATTCTAAAACTTGTTGTT